ACTTTGAAAATGTTCCTGCAATACTTTGATGCAACTTTGAGTGCCAGAGAGTGTAAGGTCACATCAAAGTGGCATTAAAGTAATTCAGGAACATTTTCAAAGTTGCAGTGACTTTGAAAAGGTTCATGCACTACTTTGATGTGACTTTGATGCGGCTTTGAGCGCCAGAGAGTGTAAAGTCTCATTAAAGTCACATCAAAGTTCCATTCAATACATTCCTTTTGGCAAAAAAAGCAAAATGCATCAATAATATGTCAAAAGCGCATGTTCAAAAATGCAAAACGCATCAATCGCAACACGCATAGGTGTGAGCCAGGGCTAAAATGTTGTGTCTATGGCCTGCTTAGGACTCCTGTAATACTATTTCAATTAGGATATTCTTTGGACCAATATCATGATTTTCATACAAGGCAAAGTATATGTAAAGCCTAACTGAATGCCATTTAGTTATAATGTTGGCATGCTATACAAATAATTCTTAACATGGTCATTTAAAAGCATTTTATATGTTTTTACATTCACAGCTCTCATTGAAATAATATGTGGCAATTCTACCATTTAGCTCCTTGTTCTGTCTGCTCTATCACATACACTTCCAGTGGAGGCTATAAGTGGCCATGACAAACCTCATACAGACATTTTCTGTCACTGTCTCAGGAATCTAACCCTGAGCAATGATATACAGCCACCACTGGAAAAAAATGCACATAGACAAGACATAGATTGAAAGAGGCTGGAGATAAGCAGCACTGAAATGCTAAAAAGAAAGCAAAAAAAAAGGTTAAAAATTTCATTAAAAATTTCATTTTATATACTTAGTGTTTGAATCAGCTTTAACTAGATGTGAGCCAGAAGGGTCTATCTCTTAAAAACATCATCAAAGTACCTTGCGTGTATGCCATACATGCTGCTCCTTTTTCCCCAGCATAGCCATTTAGCCAATATTATTTATGAGACCCAGATGTGGCCAACCGTGTACAATTAGGCTTTCAAACACTGTTTTTAATCTTTATTGAAAAATAACACTACAAAACTAACACGGGGGCATGGTCATCCCATACTGGAGGCACCAAACTCTTTTCCTGTACCACTAATTTTATTAGATTAGAAAAAAAGATATCGGTCATAGAGAGTTGACAAGTATTCATTTTGATAGTACCTATTATGAGGTGCATGCAGATGGACAATGGTATGTCATACCTTCACAGAACTACTTAGGTACTGAAAAAATGGTTAACTGGATCGTGTTAATGGTGGTAATGTTGTGTTTGGTCTAACTGCTAATGGAATGGTGCTGGTGTTTAACACAATGGCCATCAGCCCATTGGTTAATTTTTGCAAGAACTCTACTCACAGCAGGTGAGGTTTGTTGATTGGCTAAAGGATAAAAAAGTTCAGTCCATATACTTTCTCTATAAATTGAGTAACATGAAAAAAATGAACATTGCATTCATGTAGAATGTATTTAAAAACACAGGAATTACAGAAGTTCTAATGTTTCCCTACCAAGAATATAAAACAATACTGACAAGAGAGTAAATTTCATTTTTGGTTTTCTGCCTATTCAATTTTTTTTGTAACTTTTACCTATGTACGTACATTAACGCCAGAAACATTGGCACCCATGCATTTCTTTCAGATAATGCACCACTTTGCCCAGAAAATTGTTGCAATTGCAAATGTTTAGGCATTCTCATGCTTATTTCTTTTGATTGTATTGGTTTGACACAAAAAAGTGGAGAAACAAAAAGCCAAATCTGACACATTCCACTCAAAACCCCAAAAATGGACTGGACAAAATTATTGGCACCTTCTCAAAAGCGTAAGAAATATTTGCATTCCAAGTTTGTGATGCTCCTGTAGTTTGTAATTAAACTCACCTGTATCAATTAACAGATCTTAATGCTCCTGTGTCTACTGTGCGCAACACTGTCAAGAAGTTTACAGCCCATGTCACTGTAGCTAATCTCTCTGTACATGGACGAAAGAGAAAAACTAGATCAAAGATTGCAATGAAGCATTGTTCAAATGGTGGATAAAGAACCTCAATCAACTTCCAAACAAATTCAAGCTGACCTTTAGGCACAGGGTACAACTGTGTCAGCTCGCATATATGTCACAATCAGAATGAAAAGGGATGCTATGGTAGGAGACCCAGGAGGACCCCACAACTGACACAGAAACATAAAAAAATCCAGATTGGAGTTTGCCAAAACGTACCTGAGGAAGCTAAAATCCTTTTGGGAGAATGTGCTGTGATAGATGAAACAAAATTACAGCTTTTTGGTAAAGCCCATCATTCTACTGTTTTCAGAAAAATAAATGAGGCCTTTAAAGAAAAGAATACAGTCCCTACAGTCAAACATGGTGGAGGTTCACCGATGTTTGGGGTTGCTTTGCTGCTTCAGGCAATGGATGCCTTGACCATGTGCATGGCATTATGAAATCTGAAGACTACCAAAGAATTCTGGGGTGCAATGTAGGGCCCAATGTCAGAGAGTTGGGTCTCCGTCAGAGGTCATGAATCTTACAGCAGGACGATGACCCCAAAGCACACATCAGAAAGCACCCAGAAATGGTTTAAGTCAAAGTCCTGGAGAATTTTGAACTGGCCAGCAATGAGTCCAGATCTCAATCCAATAGAGCACCTGTGGAGAGATCTCAAAACAGCAGTTGGGAAAAGGAACCCTACCAATCTGAGAGACCTGGAGCAGTTGGCGAAAGAAGAGTAGTCCAAAATTCCAGTAGGGAGGTGTAAGAAACTCATTGATGGTTACAGGAAGCGATTGATTTCAGTTATTTTTTTTTCCATGGGGTGTGCTGCCAAAAATTAAACTGTGGGTGCCAATAATTTTGTCCAGTCCATTTTGGGGTTTTGCATGGGATGTATCAGATTTGGCTTTTTGTTTCTCCACTTTTTTGTGTCATACCAATACAAACACAAGAAATAAACATGAGAATGCCTAAACATTTGTAATTGCAACAATATTCTGGACCAAGTGGTACATTATCTGACTGAAATGCAGGGGTGCCAATATTTTCTGGTCGTGACTGTATTTCCATACATACCTCACCCAGAGATATTACATTTTCAAAATATAGATTGTTACATTATATTGCCAGTGCCTGTATGCTTGATCTTAAATTTGCTGCTAATCAGTATAAAATTGCATTGTGTAGCTGCTGACTGAATGCAGATTAGTGTCAGAGTGGGGGCTATCATATTTGCCAGATAGGGATGTTTGTGTGTGGTTGCCTAGTAGACCAGTCACCTAACTGAAAGTGGTGACAAGCAACCCTAAACTGTGTGTCTGGTGGGTGTGTATGTGTGTGGGCAATGGCAAAAGTGATCATGCAAAAATTCTAGATGGCAGTATAGTCCCAGTGCAAAGGTAGTTTTAGAAGCTTATTTTTGTTTTTCTGCTGACTTGTTTTTTATTTCTGTTTATATTTTTTGTCATTCATATTTAAACTTTTTCATTCATTTTGCTTTTTTTAGTGCTTTGTACCAGAAATGTAATTTTAATATCATTATAAAATTATAGAATAAAATATGTACTTTTTATCTACAGTACCATTAGTTTTTTTTAAAGCAAACACTGGCCAAGCTAGTGAAAAAAATTTTTTTTTCATTTTTTTAGATTTTTGCTTGTCTTTTATTGCATAGAACAGCAATGGGCAAACTACGGCCCGTGGGCCGTATACGGCCTGGCGGACCTTTTAATCTGGCCCGCGGAGCGTGATACTGTCAGGATGGCTGTCAGGATGTGTGTAGGGGCAGCGTGACGAACGTGAGGGGAGCTAGGCTCCTCTCACAGTCCGCCCTGAAGACCGGAACGGCGCAGGAACACGGCAAGAGGAACGCGCGGAGCAAAGGTAAGTAAATTGACACAGGGGGGACTTGGGGACTTAATATGGGGGATGAATTAATATGGGGAATGAATTACTATAGGGGGGATGAATTACTATATGGGGGATGAATTACTATATGGGGGATGAATTACTATGGGGGATGAATTACTATATGGGGGATGAATTACTATATGGGGGATGAATTACTATGGGGGATGAATTACTATATGGGGGATTAATTACTATGGGGGATGAATTACTATGGGGGATGAATTACTATATGGGGGATTAATTATATGGGGGATGAATTACTATGGGGGATGAATTACTATGGGGGATGAATTACTATATGGGGGATGAATTACTATATGGGGGATGAATTACTATGGGGGATGAATTACTATATGGGGGATTAATTACTATGGGGGATGAATTACTATGGGGGATGAATTACTATATGGGGGATTAATTACTATGGGTGATGAATTACTATGGGGGATGAATTACTATGGGGGATGAATTACTATATGGGGGATGAATTACTATATGGGGGATGAATTACTATGGGGGATGAATTACTATATGGGGGATGAATTACTATGCTTACTATGGGGGAATATTACTATACTTACTATGGATGACACATACACATCATTCATCTACTCTTGGTCCGGCCCCCGGGTCCAATATATGAACCCATTGCGGCCCTCAAGTCAAAAAGTTTGCCCACCCCTGGCATAGAACATAAAATATATTCTGCAGGATAATACTCACAAAAAAAGTTTTGTTAACCTGAAAACACACAATATATATTACTTTTTTTTCTAGTTAATGCTGAATCAATAGACCCATAGCAGAAATGTAAGCTTTGCTTTGCTCCATATAGGGTATAGAGGAGTGTGAGCCAAATTAGTTAAACATTTGCCATCAACAAGGTTACAACAAACACATATGGGGGATTTACTAAGACTGGAGCAGACAGAATCTGGAGCAGATGTGCATAGTAACCGATCCACTTCTAGCTTCAGCTTGTTCAGTTATGCTTTAGAAATAAAAGCTAGAAGCTGATTGATTGCCATGCACAACTGCTCCAGATTTTGGCTGCTCCAATATTAGTAAGTTCCCCTCATATTCGGTGTGTTCCTTACCATCCTCATCCGCTGGAACTTCAGTGCTGTCTTGAAGGTCTTCATCCACCCATGGACGTGATTCTTTGTCAGTCTTTTCTTTCCTTTTTTTGACTTTTTCATTGCCTCGCTTATTTTGTAGAATGATCACAATTAAAAGACAGATGATGGCAATAAAAACTGGGGATAGAAAAGAAAATACAGCCATGGCTTTAATTTCTTCTTCACAAATAAATCTCAATTCTGATCTGTTTTGCTGAAAAGGCAAAGAGCAAAGGGGAGGTTTCTACACTGTAAAGGGCAGCTTAGGTTTCACAACATCCTGAGTCAAGTGTAGTCTGTTCTGTTTGAACTGTTCATGGAACACTGATTAAAACTTAAGTGATTTGTCTTGTATTGAGCTTGTGAAAAGGAAATGAAGTCAAACAGAAAAAAGTGTAAATCCTGCCAAAACAGTTTCTTTTTTTTAGATTTGGATTTAGCAAGAAGGGTTAAAACTTCTGTCAGCTATTTATTGCTGTCTGTGTCCCCATCAAAGTGTTTTCCACAATAAGGTTTCCCCTTTACTCCTATTCCAGTGACAACTATAAACTATAACTTCTTAATCTCTTTCTCTACTGGTAACAATAATCTCCAGGACAAATACAGAGGGTGAGTCTAGCGCAGCCTTTCTCAACCAGGATGCCCAGGCTCCCTAGGGTGCTTGAGGTTTCTTCTAATGGTAACAATAATCTCCAGGACAAATACAGACGGTGAGTCTAGCTCAGTCTTTCTCAACCAGGATGCCCAGGCTCCCTAGGGTGCCTTGAGGTTTCTTCTACTGGTAACAATAATCTCCAGAACAAATACAGAGGGTGAGTCTAGCTCATCCTTTCTCAACCAGGATGCCCAGGCTCCCTAGGGTGCTTGAGGTTTCTTCTACTGGTAACAATAATCTCCAGGACAAATACAGAAGGTGAGTCTAGCTCATCCTTTCTCAACCAGGATGCCCAGGCTCCCTAGGGTGCCTTGAGGTTTCTTCTACTGGTAACAATAATCTCCAGAACAAATACAGAGGGTGAGTCTATCCTTTCTCAACCAGGATGCCCAGGCTCCCTAGGGTGCTTGAGGTTTCTTTCTCAATAATCCAGGATGTCTAGCCAGCCTCCCTAGGGCAACCCTGCTTGAGGTTTCTTCTACTGGTAACAATAATCTCCAGAACAAATACAGAAGGTGAGTCTAGCTCATCCTTTCTCAACCAGGATTCCCAGGCACCCTGGGGTGCCTTGAGGTTTCTTCTACCGACAATAATAATCTCCAGAACAAATACAGAGATTGAGTCTAGCTCAGCCTTTCTCAACCAGGATGCCCAGGCACCCTGGGGTGCCTTGAGGTTTATTCAGGGGTGCCTCAGTGATGGAGAAAAACTGAGGGAGAAGAGAAATGCTGGAATACTACTCAGTACCAGTGTGTAAAAGTGTATTTGCTTTGGAAGAATAAATCACCTCTAATGTTGGGTGTCCTACAGTACATGTGTGGATGTTGCTGTGTTGTATAAAACTATTAGAATAGTTTTTCACATTTTAGAATGGGCTGCCTCAAGACTGTCCATAGTTTTAAAGGGTGCCTTGACTGATAAAAGGTTGAGAAACACAGGTCTAGCTGATGAGGACACAGGCAGCAATATAAAAGTATCCGAGGTTTTAACCTTAAACTATCAAACACTAGGAATAAAAAAACTACGGTGCTCAAAAAAATTAAAGGAACACTTTGAAAACACATCAGATCTCAATGTGGAAAAATATCATGCTGGATATCTTTACTGATATGGACTGGGTAATGTGTTAGGGATGTAAAAATGCCCCATCGTTTGATGGAAATGAAAATTATCAACCTAGAGAGACTGAACTCAAAGACACTCCGAAAATCAAAGTGAAAAAATGATGCAGCAGGCTAGTCCATTTTGCTGAAATTTCATTGCAGCAACTCAAAATGGTACTTAGTAGTTTGTATGGCCCCCACGTGGTTGTATACATGCCTGACAATGTCGGGGCATGCTTCCAATGAAACGACGGATGGTGTCCTGGGGTATTTCCTCCAAGATCTGGACCAGGGCATCACTGAGCTACTGGACAGTCTGAGGTGCAACCTGGCAGCGTTGGATGGACCGAAATGTGATATCCCAGAGGTGTTCTATTGGATTTAGGTAAGGCGAGCGTGGGGGCCATTCAGTGGTATCAATTCCTTTATTCTCCAGGAACTGCCAGAATACTCTTGCCACATGAGGCTGGGCCTTGTCATGCACCAAGAGGAACCCAGGACCCACTGCACCAACGTAGGCTCTGACATTGGGTTCAAGGATTTCATCCCGATACCTAATGGCAGTCAGGGTACTATTGTCTAGCCTGTAGAGGTCTGTGCGTCCCTCCATGGATATGCCTCCCCAGGTCATCACTGACCCACCACCAAAACGGTCATGCTGAATGATGTTACAGGCAGGTCACATGTGCTCAGGATGAACCTACTCTCATCTGCGTAAAGCACAGGGCGCCAGTGGAGGACCTAATTCTGGTGTTCAATGGCAAATGTCAATAGAGCTCTATGGTGCCCGACAGTGAGCACAGGGCCCACTAGAGGACATCAAGCCCTCAGGCCACCCTCATGAAGTCTGTTTCTGATTGTTTGGTCAGAGACATTCACACCAGTGGCCTGCTGGAGGTCATTTTGTAGGGCTCTGGCAGTGCTCATCCTGTTCCTACTTGCACAAAGGAGCAGATACTGGTCCTAATGATAGGTTAAGGACCTTCTACAGCCCTGCTCAGCTCTCCTAGAGTAACTGCCTGTCTCCTGGAATCTCCTCCATGCTCTTGAGACTGTGCTTGGATACACAGCAAACCTTCTGGCAATGGCACGTATTGATGTGCCATCCTGGAGGAGTTGGACTGCCTGTGTAACCTCTGTAGGGTCCAGGTATTGCCTCATACTACCAGTAGTGACACTGACTCTAGCCAAATGCAAAACTAGTGAAAAACATGAAAAGATGAGTAGGGAAATAAATGTCAGTAGCCTCCACCTGTAAAACCATTCCTGTTTTGCGGTTCATCTCATTGTTGCCCATCTAGTGCACCTGTTGTTAATTTCATTAACACCAAAGCAGCTGAAACTGACTAACAACCCCCTCTGCTACTTAACTGACCAGATTAATACCCCAGGAGTTTCATTGACTTGATGTTATACTCTGATTAAAAAGTGTTCCTTTAATTTTTTGGAGCAGTGTATAAGGATCTTATTCTGAACATGGATTTGTTTCAAACAGAATATACCAAGGACTTGTTTACACTTGTGGTTGGGGGGTATTAAAAATAACATATTTAACCACTTGCCAACTGCCCGCCTGCAATGTACTGCGGACGGGCGGCAGCTACAGGCAAAACGACGTATGGGTATGTCGCTCTGGCTGTACTGTTACAGGGGGGTGCTGCGCTCCCTACCCATGAATGCCGTATCCACCAGACACAGCTGAATGAAGATCCCGATGAATGGGACCCGGTGATCACAATGTTAGCAAAGCTGTTGTGAATTAATTTGATTCATAACAGCTCTGCTTCTCTTCCTGGTGAGCTGTGATTGGTCCACAGCTCTCACATGATACATGAGACCAATCACAGCACCCTCTACCATGTGACCAGCTCTATCCAATCACAGATCACTATTATATTGAACTATCATAAACTTAACCAGGGGCGGACTGACCATTCAAGAACTCGGGAATTGCCCGAGGGCCAGGGGTCAGTAGGGGGCCCCATGAAATGCCCCTGGTACCTTTTATAGGCTTTTTTTTAGTGTGGGTAAGGACACAGGGGCCCCATGATCCCCTATTGCCCAGGGGCCCCATGAGTTATCAGTCTTCCCCTGAACTTAACTCATTCATGACAGTTCAAAGCAAGTTTTGCATTGCACTTTAATGGTCCTTATTTGCTCTTGCAAATCAAAGTGGAAAAAGAAAAATCCCAGATCACCCCTGCAGAATTGTACTCTGTTACTATGGTAACATAGCACTACTGTGATAAAAGTATTTAAAAAAATAAATAAATGTAAAAAAGAAACTTAAAAAACACTGTATTGGGAATTTTTAAAAAACTATTTTTTAAGTTTTTTTTTTTTCAACTTGCTGACCGCCTCCCCACATTGTGCAGGCGAGCAGCGGCTCTGGGCAAAGCGACGTAACCTTACGTCTATTTCTATTTTGGATTGTGAATGCGCTTGTGTTCCCCGCTGCCCCCCTGTAGGTCCATGAAGAGAAGAGAGAACTCCGCACTATGAGTAAATGCACTACATTTCACATGCTGATGTTATATTAGCACATTTAACCCTTTGATCCTCCCTATTAACCCCTTTGATCACCCCGTCACCCAGCCAGTGCAATTAGTACAGTGTCAGTATACATAATTTTCCATAAATGTAAATCCATGATGTAACTAGTGACATCAGATAACATTAAGGTCTGTAAGCTCCCCGCCCGCCCAGCCAGGGTCAGCTAGCATTAGATTGCTCGCACACTATCGCACTCACGCTACAGGTCGCTGATCACCCCCATTACTAGTATAGTATTTGTAAGGATCAATATATTTATCACGAACAGAATTGTACTAGTGCCTCCTTTGCATACTGTCCCCGAAAATGCAGTGCTGGATCAGCCTGTTTTTCATGGAAGATTTGTATGAATTGATTGTGGGTCAAAGCACTTTATATGTACAACAATGCCTCACCGCTCACCAAAATTCAGCTCTTGTCAGACAATGCACATGGAAACCTATCACGGTTTCTAAATGTAAAACTTTTTTGGGCCTAACCTTCAACCATTACAAAAAATAATGAATTACCGTCATATTGGTCCACAGACCCGATTCATCATATGGCCATGTTCTCTGCTGTTACATAATGTACAATGAAGGAAATGAGTATTTGATCCCCTGCTGATTTTGAATGTTTGCCCACTCACAAAGAAATGATCAGTCTAAAAAATGGTAAGTGTATTGTAACACGGAGAGACAGAATAGCAACAAAAAACTCAAAAGAAATGCATGTGCACAAATTATGCACTGATTTGCATTTTCATGAGGGAAATAAGTATTTGATCCCCTATCATTCAGCAGGATTTCTGGCTACCAGGTGTCTTTCATACAGGTAACAAGCTGCGATTAGAAGCCATCTCTTAAAGGGAACGCT